TTAATAACTGTTTTTCCCCTTTGCAATTATTAAGTATCTTGAGGGGAGATACTTTGAGACTATGTAAATATTTGCTTCTCATTCAAATTTTTAGCCACTGGTCTTAATATCAATTCATGATTCTTGGTGGAGACTGATTATTGCTGTGACGGCTGCCACCATTCCTTCTATATTTATTAATTGGAATTCTTTAACCTTTCTTTTTTCAAGTTCTTTATTCAATTATTTTAATCAGCATGGGCTCATGATAGATGTTTTATTCTATGGGCTACAATTCATTACTACCGCTATCTTTTTAAAGCTCAAATCATCCTGTTTTGACCACTGGTAGTCCTTTCAATTGGCTCCTGGGTCCTTTTGGATATGTCCTCATAATTTTCTGAGCAATTCACCAATTGTTCCAGGTTTATCTTGTATTTTTCCCTGTGCCAGCCCAGGAAAGGCATTTCTCCATAGTCTTGGCTCCTTTAATTGGAAGATGTTATTTAGAAACCAAGATCTGAGAGTGCTCATTGCTGAGGTGTCATTGCTTCTAGGCCCTATCACACACATGCACACAAAACCCCGAGTTCATACAGCTGACTCCAATTCCATATCACAGGGTTCATTCTACCCCCGCCCCCTCCCCCCCCACCCCCCACCATTTGCAATTTATTTCTCTATCAGTGAGAAACCTGGCTCTCATTATTCACAATAACATTTACCTACCTGCTCAATCCTAGAATACACACAAAGCAGTTTGGGAATTGCTGAGCCACACCCCTGTGAAAAACGTATTTACTAAAATGTTTCATTTTGTTTTTGGAATTAGTGTTAGGGTTTATAGTCAAAATACTGTTTCCCAAAGTTACTTCATTACTTTTCTTCATTCCCTCTCCCTTAGTGTGCTTTTACTATTCATTTGTAACACAGTCTTTTGTAACACAGTTTGTATTTCATTTTGGGTTCCACTCATATCGGTTGTCCATTTCTGTGTACGTGCGCACCTCCCCTTGTTTCTTGCACAGAAGGGAGGATATGGATAGTTGCTTGCCCTTGACCCATCTCACTCGCAGTACACCCTAGTCTGCGGGACAGAGTCAACCACAGCAGGCTGACACTATCCTCGGGAAGGTCTCTTTGCAAGGGTGGCCCTGGCTAGGCAACTGGGAACTTAGATTTCAGGACAGTTTCCAACATTCTCTAATAAGAATGGCTCACGGAACCCATACAACAACGTGGTTTACACTGAATACGTGCTTTCCTTCCAGAAGCGTGGTATTTTGTTATGTGCCAGGCAGAGAAAGGATGCCCATGGGACCGGTCCCCAGTTAAAACTCTCAGCTCTAACAAGCATTCATGGCAGACAACCTTTCATGTGTTGTTACAATTTGTTTCCGGAGGAAACTGAGTGTGTGTGTGACTACACAGGGGAGAGGACTTGGAAGCTATCACCTGATTACCCTTGGCCTTTGCTCTATGCTTCTCTCCCTCTGCTGACTGCTTTATATCTTTTCACTGTAACTAATCTTAGCTGTGAATATGACCATATGCTGAGTCCTATGAGTTCTAATGAACCACCAAGCCTGGAGGTAGTCTTGGTTCCTGACACCTGGAAATCAGTCCATATTAGTACACAGAGACCTTCCTCTTTTATTACAGGTGCCTAGTGCTCCACATGTGCATGTACCACCACCTACTACAGCTTAACCAACTTCTCTCCTATGTGCAGACATTTAGGATGCTTTGATGATTTTTGCAATAAAAATAATGCCACACAGAATAATCTTGGGTATATGTGTTTTTATGCTTTTGGAGATGTAGATTCAGGGTACATTCCTAGAAATGAGAGTACTGGGTCAGTACGTCAGAGTGTATGTATTTTTGTTGGGTGCAGCCAAATTCCTCTTATGAAAGGTTGTATCGGTATGCATGGCCACAAGCAATGAGTGACAACAACTTTTTCCTCATAGCCTTGCCAAGCCAGATATGCTGTCATTTTTCATTTTCTCCAATATAAAATGTGGGATTTCACTGTGGCATCTTACTACACTGATGGACAGTGACTGCACTGGGGTAGGGTGGGGACTTGATAATACGGGTAAATGTAGTAACCACATTGCTTTTTCATGTGAAACCTTCATAAGAGTGTATATCAATAATACCTTAATAAAAAAAATAAAATGTGGGATTTCAGATTATTTAAAATTTGCATTTTTCTAACTGTGACTGAAGTTGACTATCTTTCCTTGTGTTAAAGCACAACACATACACACAATGAATTGTCTATTCAAGTCTTTCCTTCATTTTTCTATTAGGTTCTTCATTCCTCAACTTAAGAGTTATTTATATATTAGGGATATAATCCTTTCATCTGTGGTGTAAGTTGCAAGTACGTTCACCCAATTCATCAGTGGTCTCTTGACTGTGTTTGTGGCTTCTTGCCAACGCAGCAAGAGTTCTTATCTTGAGGTCCAAGGACGTCTGGGCCCTACAAACCTTCTGAAATGGTACGTCTGCTTTTCTGAGAAGCATGTAGCATCCACTCAGATTTTCAAAGGGTTCTGTGGCTTGGGAGCGATGAGAGCCACCACTGCCCCATGTCTCCCACGAAGCCTAACTGTGCCCAGTCAGGACTGCTTCTGTCTCAGTCCCCCAGATTCTTGAAGGCTTCGCTCACTTCTCTTGGTTCTTCTCTTTCTAGGAGCAAACGCCCAGCAACCAGCCTCCAATGGTGCACTTTCAGGTTCTGTCACTGGTGTGAGTTCTTACCCATGAACGCATCCCTGTTGCTTACACTCCTCCCATACATGACACACCGGACACTGGGCTCAGCATGAGGAGGAGGAAACAGGGTCCACTTTGGTCAGAAACCCCAACACTGACACATTCCCTGCATCCCCTTTCTTACCTACTCACCCCCAGGGCATTTTGAGCTCATCTGAGGGCTGGAAGGAGAGGGCACTGCGAATATGACACTGCCAACACGGCTAACAGCACACAACAGAGTGCGGCCACCACCTCTCAGTCCAGGTAACACGTTTCTGTGCATGAATATTAAGAGCAAATTGGCTTTTTTGGCAGCTACATGATGATGTCAATTCTAATTAACCGGCTAAAACCTGTAGGTCTTCTGTTTTTCCATAGATAACTCTGCTTTTCTTTTTCACTTGTGTAGTTCACTTTTAGGAACCAAGTAAAACATCTTACATTTAGATCTATTAAATTTCATTTTGTTTTACACATTTCAAAGCAGTATTTATCTATATAGTGGAGTTGGGAGAGAGAAAGGGGATGGTTTAAAACAGGGAGGCAATAATCTTCTGGTTTTTAGGTTGGGAAGTATGTATATGTGTGTGTGTTGTGTTCATTATATACTTGATAATTTATATAAATCATACTTTTATTTTGTACATAATATTATGTTGGGAAATTTTCCATCTTGTTAGACTCAGTCCACCGTATCAAGAAGAAACTTTTTAGATTCTGAATCTGTTGCCTCACTTATTTAACACTATTTTTAAAAGTAGGTTGTCACAGTGTAATATCTGATATGTTACTCAATTACTATTACACTTAAGGATTCATTCATTCCTAATTATAATCTATTTTACATCATAAAAGAGTATGTATTAGATTGAAAAATAGTATCCATATATACTATGACATCTACTAACAACAATCAACTTCCCTGTGACCCATGTAAAGAAATGATGCATTTACCAGGTGGGGAATGCAGCCTTGTCCAGGAAACCTGGAGAATATGAATTTATTTGTGGACCTAGAGCAGAGGTTGGAAAACTACAGCTGGGGGTCAGGCCTGTGCTTATAAAGTTTTATTAGAATACAGTCACATTCATTTGCTTATATATTGTCTGCCTATTTTCATGCTACAAGGGCAAAGTTGAGTTGTTTCAAGAAAAACGATATGGCCTATAAAGCCTAAAGTATTTACTGTCTGGCCCTTTACAGAAGTTTACCGAACCTCTGGTCTAGGGAGCCATTGAGAGGAGAAGGTACATCTTCTAGTGCACTTGGCAGGTATATTCCTTTAGGAATTTGGGTTCGTCAGGCTAGCACAGCTCTCTCTCACCATTGGTCTAACCTACCTAATCCTTATTACTGTCCTCTAATTTCATATTCAGAGAGAGACTTGATTTCTCACATAGGAAGAAGATACACAGACCAGGGAAGTGACCATTTCTACCAAGTAACAATTGTGCATTAATTAAAGAACTGGTTTTCTGATTTGTACTTCAGCCTCTCATGAAGTAGGTTAGGTTAGCATGGGTTAGCTCTTTTGAGACCATGACCTCTGATGTACTAAAAAAATAAAAGTTAAGTTTCTGGATCTGCAAAGCTAAGGACCAAATCCTGACATATGGAGATCCCTCTAGGGTATCCACCCCATGGAGCCCACCTGGGTCAACAACCTCCCTCAAAGATATCTCTGTGACATCTCACTCCATCCTAAGCATGATACTATCAAAACTTAAGGAATAAATACTCACCGTATCTTAGATGCAGAAATACCACATGACTACCACAACGACTCACCATTCCATATACTGTAACTGCTTCAGAGAAGTGATACTTTTTCATTAGATAAGCACTTCTTCTCTTTAGGTGTCAGATGTGACACAAATGTTTTAACAGATCATCAAAAGTAAATTAACCTCTTATGATTAGCACACATGTGGCGGGGGGGGCATGGGGAAGGCAGTACAGCACAGAGAGGACAAGTAGTGACTCCAGAGCATCTTACTATGCTGATGGACAGTGATGGTAACAGGGTATGTGGTGGGGACTTGATAATGGGGGGAATCTAGTAACCACAATACAGTGTTGCTCATGTAAGTGTATATTAATGATACCAAAAAAAAAAAGTAAATTAACCTCAAAATCAACATTTTGGAAATAGTTCAAGAATAAATCATCTGCTATCTGTCAGCATCTGTACTTTATCACGGGAAATCTGTCATTTGCTTTACGCTCATCAGAATCAAGATCTGATTTCTTACCTGACTCTGGCTGACCTCCTCTCCGGCGGCTGTGGAATGAGTCTGACATGGGTCTTCCTTGGTTCCCTCACAGGGCACTCTTACAATTTCCGCCTGGTCCCCTTTATCTCTGAGGACCTTTAGCTCCATGCTCCTGGTCTTCTCTTCCCTATCCGAGATCTCAGAAGCCTCAGACCCTCCTGCTGTGGAGTCCACCAGCCCACACCTCCCAGGCTCACCCCCACGGTCCACAGTCTCCGAGGTTTCTTCACAACATTCCACAGGAGTCCTCTGCAGCTCCGAGGGCACTGCCCTACCCTGACTTACAAGAGCGCTTGAGGCTCCAGCTTTTATATCTGGGATCACACTTGGCTCAGAGTCAGCGTGAAGCTCTTTGGAGACACTTACAGGGAGTTCAGAATATAATTCCTGTGCCACGGCAGACATGGAGGAATCAGGTGGGACTGGCTGAGTCTCTACTCCGGATGACAGCATTAGGGCAGATGTAGGTTATGGAGTCAAGTCTTTTACATCAAACGATTCACCCTGACACAAATCAAAGGAAGGGATAAAAGTTTAAAATCTTGCAAGGTAGAAGAAAGCTGTCTCAGCTCAAACTGGCTAAATAAGGTCAAAAAAATTCTACCTCAAATGCCGGAATTATATGGCACGCCCCCCACAAAAAAAATTCTTAATAGGTTATGACTGTGGAGAAATAAATACCTTAAACTTGAAATAGACCTATGTCTAATCTCAATTCAAGTAATGCTTTATGAACAATTCTCAATTTAAATATGGAAAGCCAGCAAATGCAGATGAGAACAAAACATGTCTAAGTATCTAAGGATAGACCTGATGTAAATTAGAAGATAACAACAGTTTTCTACTTGCTTGCAGGACTTCATTGCTATTTTCTCACTGCCTAGAATAGATGCTTGACACAAAGTAGGTATTCAGTAAATATCTGCTGAATGACTATATACTAAGGAGCTCTGAAAAATCTGATACACTGACTTTTCCTCAGGAAGAATTCTCTATGAAAGGAGATATAGAAGAAACAATTCCATTCCTTTACCAAATATTTCAGTTTTATCTACTCAGGCTGGTACAAGATATTACTAAGCTGGCTCGTTAGCAGAATCCTTCCTTTTATTCAGTATCTTGAGATTTTCCAAGTGCTTTCAGAGATACCACTTATTTGGTTCTCACAACAACAGTGGGAAGCTAAGTAGGGCAGCTCTCATTGGCTCATTACAGATCTTAATACTACACCTGAAGAGGTTAGAAGTACGTGCCCAAAATATTACATGGTATCTGAGAGAAAAGGAGGAGATTCCCAGGGGGTTTCCTCTATGTTGGGAATAGTTCACTTTTTGCATTGGGTTGTAGAAACATGGGTTATTTGCTAAAATATGTGTATTTAAATAGTTAATAATACTACATTATTAAAGTTGTCAAAACACACGCATGCACACACACCATATAGAGCTAGGGCATGGTACTCTAGGAACCAGGGTTTCTCGGCTGGTAACTTTTCCATGTTAATCAACCAAATGCAGGCAGTTGCCCCAGCAAAATCCACTTTTACTTGACCAAGGCAGAAAGTGGCTAATCAAATAAGATATTGCATGTTTTCATTCTTGATGTTTTCCTTAACCCTAAAACAACAGGGGAGAGGAGAAATATCCAGCAACTCGGAGTCTGTAACAAGGATTTATCAGAGGTACTGATTGCAAATCCCTCTGGCCAAATGCACATAAGAAAGGCCAGCTGATTTCTACTCCTAACACTGCCAGCATCCATCTTATCCCAAAATAAACATATTACATTTAAGAAAAGCTAGTGCTATGAAATCGTTTGACCGCTGAACTCTTTCAACTTCTCTCCACTGACTGCATTCGGATTTCTGAGCAGGAGGGATTCTCCAACGCGCCGTGTAAACCTTTACAATCAGTTTCCTTGGTCCCTGTCTCTGTCCTACCCTGCTTACCCAGGGGAGCCCACATGCATTCTTACAAAAAGGCACATGCTCTGCTTCCAAGTCAAGAAGCACCCTGCTCCTTGAATATTCCTGGGTTTACAATCGTTCCTCCTTGCATGGAAGGTCCCACCCGCTAACCTGTGCTACCTGGACCAAAGCTGGGGGCTGAGGGACAGCAGGTAACAGGTCATCTCATTTTTGGCTGTTCTGCCTTTCTTCTGGTTTTCCAAACTGTAATGGATGGTTGACTCACATTCCTATGCTTTCATCCACTGGGTGTCCTTAATGCTTTTAAGGAACACTCCCTAAAGGTAAAAGGATATAGTGCTACTAACTTAAATACCATAAATTATAGGAAATCAGATTGCTGGTCCATAAAGTTTAGGTAACACAGAAGGGCTGATGAAGAAACTTGAATACAAAGAAGCAAGCAGAGACAAACTGTTGCATATTTGAATGAGGCAAGAATCAGACGAGACTCTTTAATAAATGGCACTGAGAGAAATGTATTCTTTTTTGGAGATACAATCTCCCCTTTTCTCATCTAGTTCCTGGATAGTCCTAAAGGCATGTCAGACTTTAGGCCATTTAGTGTTGTGTGTTATCTAGGGGTCGGGGTGCTAACAGAGATAAAGTGGGATTGCTATTTGATGCCCAAAAAAGTAGGAAGTGCTCAATTTTAATTTGGTTCAGTTTCCCCTTCCCAACAACAGATAATCCAGTTTTTGGTTGTCGCCCCAGATACAGACCAGAAGTGGTACAGGAAAGGATAGTATAAAAGTGCAGGTTTGTTGATGGGGATGATTCCATGAGTGTCTCTGTCAGCTTGTGCTCAAGCTCTTCCCCCTGCCCGCCACTGAGGTGTGGGTGTTCGCAAAACTTTAGGCCTTGACCTCCCTCCCTTTTAGGCTTCACTTTGATGACTTTACCTTTTTTTTGCAGCTTCTCTGCTATGTGGATAACTCAAAAATGTTCCTTAAGCATACAGTGACCACCTGACCTAGTGATTCTACTCCTAGATATGTATATATGCAAAAAACTTATGTCCATACAGACACTTGTACACCAATGTTCACAGTAATAGTATTCACAAGAGCCAAAAAGTGGAAACGATGCAAATGTCCATCAACAGATGAATGGATAAATAAAATGTGAAATACTACTCACCTATAAAAAGAAATTAAGTACTGACTCATGATATAACATGGATGAACCTTGAAAACATTAGAGTAAGTAAGTAAAAAAAACCAGGCACGAAAGAGCACGCATTATAAGATCCCATTTACGTGAAATGTCCAGAGCAGGCAAATGTAGGGTCAAAAAGTGGGTGAGTGGTTGCTTAGTGCTTGGAGAAATAGGGAGTAGCTGCTAATGGACAGTTTCTTTTGGGAACAATAAAAAAATGTTCTGTAATTGATCATTGCACAACTTCATGAATATGCTAAAAACCATGGAATTGCACAACTTAAATAGGTGAATGAGTTGATAAAAAAACCAAAAAACCTGTCTCTAATCCCAGCCTTTTCTCAAATTCCTGATTTATATTTCACTCACAAGATGTCCCCCCCCAAAAAAAAACTTAACTTAAAATGTCTGAAAGAGAACCCATTCAACCTGGGGAGTAACTGCGTGTTATCACACACAAGCAGCTAGGAGAGACAGGGATGAGTAAGACACCCTCGGTAAACTGACAGGCTCCCTTTTTATCCTGCTGCCTCTCTCAGTAATGACACCCCCATTACCCGAGAGCTCAGAAGTGAACCTCTAAACATAACTGTATCTGACCTTCCCCTGGCTATTCAATTAGCACTTGCAGCCGACAGACGTAACTCCTGCAGTCTCTGTGAAATCCCAATCCTTTCCATCCTCACAGGCCCACTTAAGATATCCTTCCGAACACAGGATCGTGAACAGATACACATGTTTACAAATAGGTCTTTATCATGAAGAGCCAATACTGATAATCACATAAAATGGCTCAAAATATTCCTCAGGGAAAACAGTGCTGTGACCCTTCCTACGCCTCCATCTACACTGTGAGCTGGCATTAGCCAAAACAGAGTTTTAAAGCTTTGGTCCCCAAAAGATAACTTTCAATTTACAAAAGCCAAACATCACAAAGCTATTATCTCATGATAGTTGTGTTTAGTAGAGACACAATTCAAAGAATTTTCAACCTGTAAAACAACCAGGCACATCAGCTGTCAAAGCAAAACAGACACTTGCTCCTTCCTCTCCCAGCCCAATCCCACCCAGAACAGCTGAGTCTCAGCTGGAACCCTCAGAGGTGGAGTAATATTTAGCTGCAAGCCTAGAGTAGCAGACTAAAATTATTCTAAGCTTACTAGCTTGCATCACTAAACTCTTAGCCATCTATCAAAATACTGGTAATGCCACAGGACTGCAGAAAACAACAAAATTGTAACAAGACATTCAAGTTCTTAAACTAAATTTCTGACTACAATGGATCAATTCAGTATGATGGTGTAAAAATATAATTACACAGAAAGCTGCCTGGGATAGTTATTAACCTGAATAAACACCAGGACCTTTATTTTGGTAAAATATGTGTGCACACAGGAAAAATATTTTAAAGAATATAAGCCAAATATTAACAGCGTTACCCTGGGTGTATGGGACCACAAATGATTCATCTGTATATTTTACTTTTTTTTTTTTACAGTATGTATTGCTTATGTTAAAATTTTGTTAAAAACATTATTTCCCAAGATTCAAATGCGCCACAATAAAGAATAACTGGTAAATACATTAACCCAGTATCAGGAGCTTTCCAAATGTCAGCTCTCTGCCTCAACCATAAAGGTTTAACATTAAAGTGTTCAATAAACTTGAAGAGGAAAGAGTAATACATGCTTATAAAATAAAGACAGGGTGTTACAGCTTAATGTGCACTAATGACTATAACCAATCTATTGGGTGAGGATGCCAGATAACTACCTAGTTTGAGGTATAAGCAGAAAATAAACCACAGATTCACACGCAACTCTTGCCAGCTGCCACTCGCTTGCCATCTTACCGTAACACAAACGAGAACTAGGCTGTTTATGCAATGGATGTATTCCTGAAAACAGGACTAATATTTATAGAGAGTGTGCCATAAAGGTATTTCAACAAAGGAAGAAGTTCTTTTGAATCGAGAACAATCATCTCGAGATGTTTGCTTCAAATGCAGAAGCAGTCCTGGGAAGTGGTTCAGTTGCTGGCATCCAGGTCGAGAGTGGGGTCCCTATCCTGCCGGCTGTGTGGCCTTGAGTGTGTCACCTAACACGTTCCCCAGGCTGGATTTTTTACAGGGAAAATAAACAAATTTAACAAAACAATCTCAAAGGTTCCTCCCACCCATAAAAATTCCAGGACTCTAAATGGTAACTTTGTAATTTCGCTTTGTTTCAGCAAAGCACACCTACAGACCCCAACAATGGTGGTACAGAGCTCAGACTATTCCTCAATGCAGGTACATAGGGCATCATGGCAGGTAATTTAAGAACACTTTACATGCACAAAAGATGGAAAGCTTTTCTTTCTTTTGTGCGTCTTTTAGGCGACTTGGCGGTGTTAATTCCTATCCCACCAAATAACAAAACCATGGAAAAAGAAAATAAACTACTAGTGAAAGATTAAAATTGCAGCTCCTAATCTCATTAAATCACGTTTTACAATACTGAAAACCTGATAAAGTGGCCACTTCTACTTAAGTAGCTCAAACATGCCCTAAAACAAAAGTTCTTGGGTACAATGTTTACAGCAACACGCAAAACAGAAAGAAAAAAAAAAATCAAACAAAGAAAACAGTAGAACAAAAAAAAAACAAACCATGTGCTCCAATAATCCTGAGTCTGAAGGGCTTCCCTCCCTTTAGTACCAATGCAAAAGGGCTGATCTTGATGAAACAAGCAAGAGTTAACACTGGGCACTGCCACACTTGTGTCAAGGGACAATACTCACAATAATGGCCAGGCCCTCAGAAGTTCTTAACACTCCCTTCACCTTAAGAAAGGGACTTTCTTTTCCCAAAGATTCGTACACTGTAGCTAATCCCTCCACGAGGGAGTTCTGAGAAGAGGCCTCTTCTTGAAGGACAGAGAAAGAAGAATCTTTTAACAAGATCTCTAGGAAACCTCAAAGTGGGGCAGGGAAGTCTATATACTGAACAGGGCCCAGCTCTTCAACATGGAGGGTACAGGAAATCTCACGCGCATCAAGCACCGTTTCCCTCTTCCTCCCTTTATTAGCATGCAGAAAAGGATTCTTCTGTCTCCACATGGGGAGGGAACAGTGAAATGCTCCTGATTACCACTGACAAAGGCTCTCTGCATAAAATATTTCATTTCTTTTTCAAAGAAAGAGGAGAAAAGAAACCATCTGTGCCACTCTAAATACACAGCAGCAGAGTCCTCCTCTCAAAGGTATGGAGTCTTATTTTTCTTGGGAGAGCAAGAGAAAGAAGTTGTAATCTCCCTCTTTGGGGTGGGGATTGTGCAGATAGAAGGAAGAGATTTTTAGACTCTAGAGAACAATCATCTCAAATAGTGGGAGTGGGAGAGCACATCTCTAACCAGTCAGGAAGAAGCCATAGCTTCTGTGGACAAAGGAAAAACTGGCTTCTGGTATCAGGCCTCCCTCCCTCTTGGAGTATAGACCTGTTTCCAAAAACAGTCTTTTTTCCTGATTATTCTAACTGAGGCCCTCTTTGTTAATTCGGGAAGTATGGTCGGATCTAAGGGGAGTAGAAGTGCCTCTTTCTCCACCCCAGGGTGGGGAAGAGTGTCCTTTCCAGTGAGAAAGGATGCGTTGAACGCTTGTGATGTGGCAGGTAGAGAAGGGAGGAGGCATGCATTGAAAAATCTGCTTCTCTATGAAGATACTAGTTCTTTTTCCCAACAAATTAAGTAACAGTAATAGCAACAATGTACCAAAAGCTTACTATGTACTAAATACTTAATACAAATTCTCCCATAGCCCTCAAGGCAGTTCTTTGAAGAGTACCCAAAGTAAAGAAAGGCTAAGGAAGACTGAGAAAGGTTAAAGCAGTTAGTCAAGGTCGCAAAGTTGGTAAGTGGGAGACAGAGACTTGAGCTGTTACACTCCAAAATCCACGTTCTTAATTGTGCAAGGGAAAGGCGCTCATTGCACACACAGAAACTTGAGGGAGGCAGGGAAGCAAGGCTAGGGTCTCTCTGTGGACATGATTGGGAAGGAGGTGGGGGGATATATAACTTCTTATGCCATTAAGTAAATTCAGGGTCTTCATCTCTATCTCGGGATAAAGGTGAGAAATAAAGGAGGGGACGCTGAGCCTGTCCTCTACAGGGAAGGGAGACCACCACGCAGTCACTTTTAGGCAAGTTGAGTTCGCATTCACCCGGGCCACTGGCGCTGACCAAATCCCGGGAAAGGTCTTGTTTAGGGATTATCTCCCATCCCTTCAAGTAAGCTCAGAATCGCCCTCTTGCCCACCCCCCCGGCGCGGGTCTCCCTCTGCTGACAACGCACAGGAACTGGGGAACAGCGTACTCACACGACAAGGGGCGTCGCTCTCCCCAAGGTGAGAAACTGTGTGTGTGTGTGGGGGGGTGCTTGCTGTATCGAGATTGAAGAGGGGTATATCCCCCCAGTCGCAGTCGCGACTCGGAGAAGCCGTTTCCCCTCGCGACGAGGCCTCTCCCCGGGTCGATCCGCAGCCTGCAGCGCAGCCTCCGTTCCCTTCGGCACCCAGAGAGGGCGGGGGGCCCGGGTTTCCCCCCAGCCTGCACCACCCGGCGTTGGGTCCCCTAAGGGTGGAGTGGGGCGAAGCGGCTACGCCCGAAGCCTTCCCGCCCCTGGCCTCTTACCCTGAGGCCTGCTTCACGGCCCGCGCTTGCCCCGCCAGCCGGGCCTTTGCAGCCGCAGCTCAGTCGCCGCCAAGTCTACCTGAGCCTACCGAGCCGAGCTAGCCCGGAGGCGCTCCAGCCGCTGTCCCCTCTTCGTCTCTATGGTCCTCCCCGCCTTCCCCCAGCACTTCCTCATCCGGGGCCCTAGCCAGCCATGTGGGCTCGCCCAAGTCCCGCCCCCTGACGGCGCTCGCGCCCTCCGGAGGGCGGCTCTCCGCGTTGGCCCTCCACGCACCGGATACCCTGGGGCCGCCCTCTGCTCCGCCCCTGCTGCTCAGACTCTTAAAGGGGAACACACTAGTTGACTCCGCCTCTGCTGAGCGGAGGAGCTCAGTGCCTTTTCCACTGCTTGTACCCTGGCCCAGTCCTTCATTTTTCTGGCCTGAATGCCTGCAATTCTAGGGGCCTCACTCTGGCAGCGCAAGAGATCTTTTTATAGTTGGAATCAGTATTTTAGGTCATGTCACGCCCCTGCTTCTAATTGCACTAAATCTAAATGGCACCTCTGCCTCCAGTCCTTTACTGTATCTTATTTTAATTTCTTCATAGCTTTAACACTATCTGAAATTGCAGTTTCATCTATTCATCGACCCGTTTATAATCTGTCCTTTCCACCCTCAACTGTTTTGTTTATTCTGTGGTCAGCACCTAGCTCAGTGTCCAGCACAAGTAGACACACAACAGGTATGTGAAGGAAGGGAAAGAATTCTTATTCAAGAGGAAACTGAGAAGGTCCAGAGAATGGAATCAACTTGCCCCAAATCACACGGCCTTGTGTTAAACATACAATCTGTTGCTTCTTGGACATTATCAACCCTGCTGACTAAGGAGCTAGAGGTTTGGAGGTTTGTGGGACACTAGTTCTCTGACCAAGACCTTTGAGCCAGTCAATGTGTAGACCATTTTGGCTGAGAGAGTGGTTTTCCTAGCTTTAGTTAGGACTGGAGATACACAGATGCAAATGACAACCCTGTTGTTTACAGCCTGTAAGTCTATATGGTTGTCCATGTACAGGTTCAGTTCATATATAGGCTGCTACAGATGCTGTTGGGATGAATTACTTAGAAATTCACTTTAAAACATTTCTACATGTACAGTATCCATGTCCTCAAGTACTTTCTCAGGCAAGTACATGCCTAGAGAAGGGGATCTCAGAAATGCAGTATTACTGGTTTGTCCTGCCTCAGAATTTGTTATGACTCTGTACAGCACCATTATTGATCATGCCTTTGTTAAAAATATGGGATATTTTTGTTTATCATGTTTTTTGTATTAATTTTTATTTTAAAATATATTACATTAAATATTGTCTTGCTCATTGGGTTTTTTGGTGCTCCCTTAACATTTTGTCCCCTAAAGCAAGTGTCTCCCTACCCTCACCTACCTTACTCTGGTCTCAGCCCTGCTCCTGGTTCTGCATTAGACACAAAGGGGTCCAAAAGAAGCATCACATGAATCATTCAGTCTCTTAAAAAGTCTAGAAGAGCCAGTTTCCTGATGAATTCCATGCTTTTAATTAATAATACTCTACATTTACATTGTACTTTACATTCTTTTTATTTAAAGACCAAATGTAACATTTCCCTCACTTCTTTTGGTCCTCAAACACCTTGTGAAGCCAGAATGACATGTACTTTTTATTCTCATCTGATGGAAGAAGTTTGAGAGAAGAGAAGTTTCTCATGCAAAACCACACCTCTAGAACAGGCAACCCTGCAGGCAGCTGTAGTACAGTGATTGTAGAAAGAACCAAGGCTTTTGGATCCCCAGTGGGGAGCTGCCTTCCCTAACCTGGCTTTGTAGGCAATTAAAAAAGGACTTTCCACCAGCTACTCCTGTTAAGAAAGGAAAACAGCCTGGGGGAATCGGAGTGAGTCCTCTGAATTGGCAACAAAAATATGGCAACACAAAATTTAACATTTTATCCCTGTGAAAAATTGCAACTGTTGGAGTCTTATTTTTTTAGTATAAAAAATTACAATGACTTAATAGTTCAACTTCTGAATCCTAAAGGAAAAACATGGATGCATAAGGAAGCTCTTCCTTGTCTTGCCACAGGGATCTCCTTCACCCACTTCCAAGTCCCCCTGCAGTATGCGATGCTTTTTTCTTTCAACTTTCAGACATTTTCCGAAAACTATAGGTCAACTAACTAGATGGAGCTGGCAACTTGTCAGGAGCCCTGACAAGGCACATCCCACACAGCTCTGATTCTCTACTTGGGGAGAGAAAGATGTCCCAAAATAGGGGCTAAGGTTGAGCACTCCTTGCATGTGACCTGAGGATCCTGGTTAAACACTCAACCTTTTGAACCAAGTTGATCTCGACCAATTCAGGATCTGTCCTAACTTCCTTGGGAGGATTCCCCAAGCTGTTTCTCTGTCTGTGAATATGATAGTATCTGCCATCTAATAGGGATGCGATCTAATAGGGATGTAAGGATTACATAATAATGTCTGTGATAGCTATGGTGGCTATTAACAACAGGAGAGGCACAGAACGTCAATTGGGGTTTGGAAGAATTTGAAAAGCCCCAAAGTGGATACGTCCCAGTAAGGTCTATTGCATTAAGTCGCACGTGCGCATCCCGTTACATTTTATACGAGTTCTCCCAGAAACTATTTTGTGCCTCTCAGCTCTGTGAGGCCAAGCGAAGTTCCTTAACATCGTGTATAGATCCAGGAAGACTAGCCGGTTTACCCGATTGGGGAATCACTAAGTCTGAAACGATGGTCACGGACATTTATCTATTCTAGGACGTCTGGGTGGTAAAAGACTTCCTTTCTGGGGTTGTGGCCCGCGAATGGGAAACGCCAGGGGTAGCCGTAGCTCGAGGCCGCGACGCCCCGCCCCTGGCGCGAGCCCCGGATGGGGAAGTGGCGCGGATACCGAGATGAGGCGAGCCCGGGCCAGAGTGGCCCGGGGCGGAGGGGCGGGAAGGGGGCGGCTCCGCGGGGCGGAGCCACCGAAGCTGCGCGGGTGCTCAGGTGAGAGCTCTGTGACTGGGGCGCGTCGGCGGGCGCCAGGAGCCCCGGCCCGGAGGCCGTGTTGGTTGTGCAGGCGGTGTCGGGGCGTCCCCAGGAGGCGCGGGGGACCCGGCGAGGTCCGGCCGTCAGGCCCGCGGCCTGAAGCGGGAAAGGGCTCCGGAGCTGCGGGTGAGTGGAGCTGCCCGCCGGGGCCCGGGTTTGAGGAGCGTGAGGGAGGGGGCCGCGGCCCAGTTTCCACTCCTGGCCCCTGCCCCCCAGCCCGCTGTGTGACCTTAGACACGACTCTGTCCCTCTCCGAGCCTCGGTGGCCTCAGCTGTGAAATGAGGGTGGAGGGTGGACCGCCGACAGATTGTACAGATTGGACGTTGGGACAACGAACCTCTGCCTTTCTGCTGTTTATAGTCTCCTTGCCCAGGACGTTAACGGCGAAGCGTGAACAGTGGAAGTGACCCGCAGTGTCTGAGTGACCGTGGGCAAGTCCCGAGCCCTGGCCCTCACCTTCCTCATCAACAAAAGGTGTGCGCTGACCTCTTTTAAGGTCTCCTTAATATTTGGGTGTTAATGGGTTTAGATAGAGACAAGGTAGGAAGTGCCCCATTCACTGCAAGTTTTTCCTTAAGGTGTGATAGAATGTCTTCTTAGAGGTTGGACTAGACCCTGGCACGAATTCCCCTTAGTCCCCAGATTTTGTGGTTCTGCGTGTTCTCCAACCCTCCGTGTGTTGGAGGAGTGATTTCATGCAAGGGTTGGTGCCATCTTTCAAGCTGAGCAATACCAGTATTTTCACTGGCCTGAATCAAAGAGCAGTTGCACGGAAAAGTGACATTGCAGCCTTTTTGTGTTTCAGTGGCAGGGAGGCAAGATGACTTCTCACCCCCAAGCTTGGAACAGCTGAAGGAAACAACAGTACAACATGAGAACAACGAAGGTCTACAAACTGGTCATCCACAAGAAGGGCTTTGGGGGCAGTGGTCAGTATTGATTGGTCTTTGGGAGTTGTGTAAGTTGGCTGAGATTCTGGTGTGTCCAGTGCCTTGAAAATTACACACTGACTCATGTGGCAATTGAAGCTAGGCAGGCATCTTAATTTATGACGTAGCAACCGGGAGGGCAGTAGGACCAGAGAGCACAGGCCCCTTCTAGAAGCATTTGCATTCTGACTTTTAAGGCACATTGTGAATATGCCAGTTTACTACCCTTCATTTGTGTTTTGATTTACATACTTATTTTATATATTCCATAAAATTGCAGTCTGCACTGGTTTAGCAGATAAGAGAAACTTACATTCGATGAGAGAGAAGTAACGTGTGTAGGACCGGTGTGATCAAAACCAGAACCTTTGCATGGCTCCAACGCATAGTGAGATGGGTCAGGACACAGCAGATTGTCCTGTATTAAACTGGAGTATCAGCTCTGCCTCTAATTTTCCTGTGCCCTCAGGCAAGCCCTTCATTTACCTGACCTACAAACTCAAGCCCTTTAGAAGTTTCTCTCTTTCTCTTAGTACCTTGAATCTGGAAATCTGCAGATTAGGATAGCACTTAGTAATATTATTATTATTATTATTATTATTATTATTATTATTATTATTATTATTATTATTATTATTATTGTTTTTGTAAAGGAATCATTTCCCCTTCTGCCTTATCAACCTTATTTGCTTCAGAAATTGCAATTAACAACCCCACAAGTCTTTTAAAATTGTATTTTAGTATGCATTTGCTCTGATGTATGTATAAGCCTCCCAAGGGCAAGGACTTCCCAAAGGAGAAAACAATAGTTTCTTTATCAGAAGGTGTATGAGGATTTAGTCACATGTTGTATGTAAAGTTTTAGCAGAGTATCAGGGTCTTGCTGCTCAATAAATGTAGTCATAATTACCAAGACAGAGATACACCAGGCATT